CGCATCCCAATTTGGCCCAACCCTCATAACAACTTCGAACACTCTCTTCCTCCATCTCTCCTCCCACCCTTCTTGTTCCTCTCCTCTTGCAACTGTCCTTCTCTGCGAGCTTCGCGGCGAAGGTCTAGTGCTTCATCATCCTCCGCATTGGCTGTCCTGTTCCACACCAATCCGCTTTTGTTGATAGCTCAAAGCACACCCAGCGAAACACAGATTGACTTCTGTAAATCCGATTGCTTCGGGCGTTTTGTATCCTTGTATCGCCGTATCGTCGGGTACAACCTCTCAGCCCTCCTGCGACAAGTTGATCTGCCCTCCTTGCGACTTTAACAACGGTTTTCGACACCCATTTGCGACATCCGAGTCCCACGAAACGTGTGCCACCGCACCCAACCTGTCCAACAGCAACATATTGCCGAGCGTCTCCGAGAAACTAAGCCCTTATGCAACAGGCCCTGATCTGAGCGTTTTAGACCCGAGGACCTCCTACGCGATTACCCTGCAGCCACGGCAGTCCAGCCTAGCGACTTTCGATTGCCCTTTGCGCCAAATCCGTCTTTCACAACGTTTGTCATTGAACGCTGACTCTTACCATAATTGTCTGGAACAATGAGTGGTCTTGATATAGAAAAGAAGTTGAGCGTTAACCAGGCCTCGACCGGCGAGAATGCGTCTGGATCTGATGATGCAGATGCGCTCAAGCTGGCTGAGATGGGTTACACGCAGGACCTGCAGCGCAATTTCTCCCTGCTCTCACTGGTCGGCATTGCGTTCTGTATGTCAAACTCTTGGTTCGGTATCTCGGCTTCCTTGATCACCGGTATCAGCTCTGGAGGTACTGTTCTCATCGTTTACGGCTTGCTCTGGATCACCTTCATCTCGACTTGTGTCGCTGCCTCCCTCTCGGAATTGGCTAGCTCCATGCCCAATGCCGGTGGGCAATATTTCTGGGCGAACGAGCTTGCTCCGAGGAAATATGCCCGGTTCTTCTCTTATCTTACCGGCTGGTTTGGATATGCTGGTGCCATTTTCGCGAGTGCCAGTGTTGCGCTCAGTCTTGGATCTGGTGTTGTGGGAATGTGGCAACTTGGCCACCCGTCATTGTATGCTTCCAGATCCCATATTTGCTCTCTGAGAGGAAGTGTCTTCCGCTCTAGGTCCGTAGTGCTGACTCCATCCACAGTGTTCCAAAAGCCTGGCATACGGTAGTGGCATACCAGCTCATCAACTTCTTCTGCTACCTTTTCAACTGTTGGGGCAAAACCCTGCCTGCTGTGGCAAAAGCGACGCTGTACATCTCGTTGCTTTCTTTCCTGGTCATCCTTATCGTTGTTCCGGCTTGCGCAAACCCGCATGCCAGCGGATCCTATGTTTTTGGGCATTTCGTCAACTCCACTGGTTGGAAATCGGATGGAATTGCTTTCATTGTCGGTTTGATTAACCCGAATTGGATCTTTGCCTGCCTGGATTCGGCCACTCATCTTGCCGAAGAGGTGCCGCAGCCCGAGAAGAACATCCCTGTTGCGATCATGGCCACCGTCGGCATCGGTTTCGTTACCTCCTGGACCTACTGTATCGCGATGTTCTTCAGTCTCAACGACCTCGATGCACTATTGAACACCGCCACAGGAGTGCCAATCTTGGAACTGTACTACCAAGCTCTGAGGAACAGGGCAGGTGCAATCGTTCTGGAAACTCTCCTAGTGGTGACGGGTATGGGTTGCCTGATTGCCTGCCACACGTGGCAGTCACGTCTTGCCTGGGCCTTCGCTCGTGATCGCGGTATGCCTGGACACCAACTGCTCTCCAAGGTCAACATGACTTTGGATGTCCCCTTGCACGCCCACAACGCCAGCGCATTCATTGTTGCTGTTCTCGGCTTGCTCTACCTGGGATCCTCTACCGCTTTCAACAGTATGGTCACGGCATGCATCTCGCTTCTGTACATGTCGTACTCTATCCCCGTTATCTGCCTTTTGTATGTTGGTCGTGACAACATCAAGCACGGTCCATTCTGGCTGGGCAAGTGGGGTCTTGCTGCGAACTATGTCACCCTGGCATGGACTCTCTTCTGTCTCGTTATGTACTCGTTCCCTTCGACTATGCCAGTCACAACAGGAAGTAAGTATTCCAGTCAAACATTGATATACGATGAATGGAGTGACTAACCGGACTGCAGATATGAACTATGTTTCGGCTGTTTACGGTGTCGTTATCTTCATTGTTCTGGCTGACTGGTTTGCACGAGGAAGGAAGTCGTTCCGAGGCAGCCAGAGTTGCGTGGAAGGAGAAAGTGCCGAGTAAAGCGACGCTGGATCATCAAATACTCTTCACCTCCCCTTATCCCCATGTCACGAGTGCTTCAAACAAAACAAAGGCACATTCATGGGTTATGAAACCACACGAAGACACCTAGCGAGTCTGGGATCTTCATCATGACTGAAAAAGAAAAGCATCTGTATATAGACGATACCCCGGTGATATAGAGTCGGTATAGATCAATTTCAAAAAAGTTTAAAATATAGTCGAGACTTTCCATATCGTAGTTATCATGGTGAAACGAAGCCCAATGGAATGTATCCCCAAGGATAATGAAGACAGAACCCTGTAAATCCACAATGGAGGGGAAAGTAGAATCCGAAGTACAAAATAGAAGGAGCAAAAACCTCTCCTTCCATGTGACCCCTGCAAACATAGCTAGACCGTTTCTGGCCACAACATCGTCTCCTCAGAACATTCTAGGCCGCACTTTTGCCCTATACGCCTCCAAAGCCATTACGGAGCCCAAGCGCGCTATTGTCTTTGTGGCTTGAAAGAAAAGGAAATTTCTCACCGACAGTTTTCTGCTACGTGTATGTTCACATTGCATTTTCGGATCCGGAAAGAAGCCTGCAAAACCCCTTTTCTGTGTATTGGGATTGTTGTCTGACACCTGCCCAGAATAGCGAAGCTATACTAATATATCCATGGTTCGCTTGGTGATGAAAGTAGTGGGGTAATCTGCATCGCCGGCATAATTTCTCGTGTTTTATGGCCTCCTGCAAGCATCTCCCAGTTTGATTCTCCTTCGAGTCGGGCACGCCTGGTGCGTGACATCGAATAAGTCTTTTACGACTTTGCAGAATTGCTCTACCAATTGCACTCAAGAGTTAGAGAATTAGATTCATAATTTCATATTCCATTGTTGGCCTCATTAAGCCCGCTATGTGACTATGGCTACCTAAATACTAGTATGTCGCTATCCTGAGCTAAGAAACAGCGGCACCTATTTAGCTGCATACACAAAAGAGCGACTCCACCAGGACGAGAGTCCCAGATCAAGCCAAAACTCCAGCGGACTAGTTGCTGCTCGGATGAAAAATCAAATGAGAGAATAAAAGAAAAAGAACACGAAGAAGCTTCCACATAGAACAGGCAGATATCCTTACTCCTGCTGACCGCGCTGAGCCGTGACAGTGCATTCCAGCCATATTCGATCAGAACACCCTCGTGCTTCCTAAGAGGTATCATCCACCCAATCAAGAATTCTTCCAATAATGAAGGGTGTAGGGAGTGATGACTCTCTTATCCTTAACCTGCCCTTTGATCAAATCCTTCAGTTCGTCAAGCAGGTCACCAGCATAATTGGCGTTTTCACGAAGCTCTCTGGCGAACTTGAAATTATCCATGAGAATGAAGGGACCGGCCGAAGCCTCAGCGATGAGAGAGCGGACTGGATGACCTTTGAACAACATCGAGGCCGACTTAATGTGGCTAGAAGTCAGGAGACGAATCTTTCCGTTTTCTCCTCCGGCACAGGATAGGTTAACTCGGGGAATAGAGCTGGTAATGATGGCCTTGATCTTATCAGCCAGAAGTTGTTCCATGCCTGTGATGCGCCACATGTCCGCCAGTCGAGCCATTTCGATGTACGCATTGATGCATCTTCCCTGGATCTGCGATGGAAACTCGATACGATTGAGGTACAGCCACTGGAGGAGCATGAGGAGGCTGCGCTCAGTGACAACGCCTCTGATCTTGTGCATGGTTACTGCTTGCTCGTTGCCCTCTTTGAAACAGCTATCGAACATTGCTCTGAAATAGGAGGAATGTCTGCAGAGGAGAGGACGGGATACTTTGTACTTGGCCCCGTTGTTGCCGACTTGAATAGTAACATAGGGGCCGGGGCACAAAGGGACCATGCTAGTATTAGTTCCGTTAGTCAATGAATAAAACAAACAAACCAAGTATATTGTGAGAATGGTGTAGCTCACAAATCATATAAACCCTCATCAGATGTGTCCGGGTTTTGCTTGTTATCATTTTCGGCCATCTTGGCTGGTTATCGACTTTCCACTAAGGAACGCGTTAGCACCTGTGAGGTAACCGGCGTGATGAGAAGCACCTTTGAGAGTGATTATTCGCGTGAGCAATAGTAGTAGGACAGATGATTGTTAATATTGAAGATACGCACGCCGAAGAGCAGAGAGAATATGGGTTCGTTGTATCAGCTCGGTTCGTGTGCAAGCACACCAACCACAACCTCACAACACGACTTTGACTGCAACACCTGCACTCACGCGCTCTTCAGAAACAACAAAGAGGAAAGTTTTGTATAGATAGTAGGAAGCTTGTGAAACTATACACCCCATCTCGGAACGGATCATTCTTATCCGTGATGTCATTCACCGTCCCTATCTACTGAAGTGGATGGCTTATAGCGTTGCCCGACAACCGGACCTATCGGTTCCTGCTTTCATTCTCTTCCACAGGCTTCACGTAGCGCTAATGGGACCTTGTGTAATCTTCTCAAAGTTCTGTTCCTAGTCTTGTATATACTGATTGCTTGCCATGCTGGCCCTGATTTGCGTCTGGCTCAGGTCTGGTTATCTTCATTTTAAGTACGTTGAGTATAAGAGGTAAGGGAGCAATCGTTATTAGTTTCTGATTAGATGCAAATTGTAGCTAACTGGAAGTAAATAAGATAATATAGAAAGTGCCACGAAAGCAAAGGTCCTAGATGATGGCCTTGCCTACAGCCTTCATGAACAAAACTTTCTCACTTATGTACACAGGCTGTCTCCATCACGCAGACTAGATGCTTGTAGCGAGCACAGTGCGTGAACTCAGATGAATGTTGTCCCTCGAACAGAATTGAAACTAGCAAGCCCAGGAAGCTTTCGTCAGGTCATAATCTTGGACGGTACCGTAGGTCAGATTGAAGAGCCTTGTCAATGACTTCAGTAGCCATCAGGACTTCTTCATCTTGAAATCTCCACCCAACAACCTGGATAGCAGTAGGTGCCCCATCTACTGCATCTGGATCATCTATAATCGCAATAAGTAGCTGACACTCATGACCAGGTCAACGAGGAAACTTACAACCATTGCATACCTCCGAATCCAGAGACTTATCAGCCTTCAGATATGGAATAATGCTCGCGGGAAACTAAGATATCCTGCATCAGCACGATACATCGAGCAATTTATGTTTGACTTCCCTTACATTCAACAAATTCCAAATAACCGTATATACCGGCGGCCCATAAGTATCATGTGGGCCTGCAGTTGACCAGTGACCCGGACAAATGAGGACGTCCAGATTATGCTGTTTCCAAACTTCAGCCATCTTTTCCCGATACTCCATAAGGGAAGCATTGGCGTCCCAGACATCGTCTAATGTCAGTGTAGGATTCTGTAATCCAGCTAAAGCAGCTGGAGAGGCATACTCCAATGCTTTGATTGGTTGCTCATCCCCATCCAAAACGTGCTGCAGAAGGGTCTGCTTGGTATCGAACAAAAAGTACCGTGCCGCCAGCTTTAGACCATCGTGAAAGGATGGAGCATTGGTTACAAGATGGACACTGTGACCAGCATTTTCAAGCGCAGCCTGTGCGGAGGAAAGTGCCCGTTTGACAGGAGGAAATAGTGGGAAGTGCTCGTCCCCCATATAGACCCCAATGCTTAGCTTCTTCTTTGGGGGCACATGCCGCCAAGTCGTCCCAAGAGCGGTGGAATCATAGCGCCATGGTTCCGACGAAAGTATTGTCTTACAGAAGAAAGTCAGGTCTGATGCACTGTTGGCGAGTGGACCGACTGCCGAGACGAGCCCTGGTGTACCCGGCCTGTCCCCTAATTCGACTCTCCCGTGAGGTATGCGGTCAGCTGTGGGCTTGAAGCCATATGTGCCATTGCAGAGGCTCGGTGCACGAATGGATCCTCCGACGTCTGTGCCTACTCCTAGTATGGAACCTCGGAAGGCCACCAAAGCACCTTCACCCCCACTACTCCCACCTGCACTGAGGCAAAGCTTGTGAGGGTTCAATGTTCTTCCAAAAACATTGTTGACGCTATCCATGGTCTTCAAGTGGACCAAGTGTTAGCAGAGAACCGCGAGACAAAAGAAATGGCAACTTCGTACCAACAGTGTCTGTGGAATATTTGTCTTGATGTACAAGATGGCGCCGTTAGCAAGGAGAATATCAACTAGGGGCGAATTTTTAGCTGCGACTGGCTTCTCCAGAAAAGAAACAAAGCCAATGGTTGTAGCCTGTCCCTTGATATTGAAGCTGTCCTGTTGCATGGTGAGATTCGCGGCAATGACGCTAGTAACGGAATCGGATCCAGTAATTGCCAATTCAGATGAGATAATTTGCTACTGGAACCGAAGGCTTACCTTTACACTGATAGGAAGGCCATGAAAGGGTCCATAAGGCCTTCCATACTTGGCCAAATATCCATCAAGAAACTCTGCTCGCTTGAACGCCTCGGCAAAAAGGATCTCAGTCGCGCAGTTTGTCTGGGTAATTGCATTAGCTGAGCCGATCACGATATGGTTGACATATACATAGATACCAACTGGTGTGCAATAGCAGCTCTCTTACAAAAGGCCTTGCAAACCTGGAGCGAGGTCAGTCGGCCTCCGATGATCTCCTGGTGAAGGCTTTGGGCGTCATAGGACTCTGTGATAGCCACCTCTTCCCTTGACAACAAATCATGATGTTTAAGGATGTCGAAAGCACTTATGTTGGCATCCTGGGTAACTTGGTTTATGATTGTCTCGGGAAGAACCCATTCAGGAGGGATTTTGGATGCACGGTCCCTTAGTTTGTCAGCGATCAGACCATCCCACTGAGCCATCTTGAAAATGCAGCCCACTTCTTTTTGTACAATGGAACGGGAGATTAAAGACAAATGCATGCGGCAAGGGCTTTAATAAAGACCAAAAAGATAAGAGATAAGACTGATCAATGCACGCCAGGTTGGGCTCGCTTCCAGGGGGCTTTATCTACCACGTAGCAAGCTAAATGAAAGTGTCGCATCCAGCCGACGCTATAGAACAGGCGTATTATTGTCCTGAGCCACTAGGCAAACGGATGACGCGGATAAGGCAATTTATTGGGAAATTAAGTACCTTAACCTTAACAAAGACAACTGGCATTCTTACTGGCATTTCCTCCAAGCCCTTTAATCCGTCAACCGATTCGTTCCAAGCCCCGGTTCCAGTACTTTGGGATGGCTAACCGTGGCTACGCCAGCCACTATGACCAGGAACATTGCCGGCGGTGTAAGCTGAATGGCCCGGCAGGATTATCTAGTCAAGTTGGTGCGTCACGCCATAAGATTGATGCAGCTCGATGATTGCTCGAGCGTAGTGACATCCGCCCAATAGGCCGGTCCTTGCAGCTAACCGACATGTGAGCTCCGTACACGGCGAACCTCGGCCTATAGATCATTTTGTACATGATGTATCCGACCATCTATTGTGACTCTAACTTCTGAAATGGACACCTTGTCAGATCAAAAGTCCAAGGTATTACAAGACACACATGGACGTCGACACACGGGACAAGTTCGCATCAAATAAAGACTGTAAAGACGTAAATAGGTTTATGATGTAGGCATGAACTACCTTCAACTCTCAGCTTATCTGATCAGCTTCAAGCCCACTAAAGCTTGTCAAGAAGCTTATTCTAGCACACTTGCATACCAGAGTATTGACTACTATATAGAGCATCCACTGGTTTGATTTCCCATGGCCAGTTCACTCCCTCTGCAGTATAAAGAATAATCGCTATCATCAGTTACTACCACGATCGAATAAAATATAGCAAGTGATCACATATAGATTGACGGGTTTTGAAAGGAGTTCTGACCTAGGAAATATTCCAAAGAGCATCAGCTCTGGAGGGTCAGACAGTGCGCAAGGCGAGCGTGGGATCTCGGCCATCAGTACAGCCGCGTTGGCCGTGTGAGAGATTCAAAGATACCTAAAAGGTAAGCAGAGAAAGACCTGAGCTTACTTGAATAGCTCCATGAAATTTTGAATTGAACCAACTCCATTATGCTGTGGAACAGGCATGCATTGATGAGTTGGACTAGATGTCGGTCACCGCAAAGGCCCTGGATGACCAATCCGAATGAAAAGTTTACGAGCGGGCCAATGAGAGGCAGGGTTAGCGGGTCGGCTCCAAGGCAGCGAGGCAGCCTCAGGGCTGTCAGCAACTTATCCTCCTTGTCCTATCTCATCCTCGATTACTCTTGCTTTCTTTTGCCGCTGTGACTTTTCCTCGACTAAGCCTGTGACTAACATGCATAGCGGCAAGCTTTTTCATAAGTACCAAGGCAACCCCGCGAACAGTCGAACCAGTTGCTGAGCGCTGAAATGGAATCCGAGAAGAAGCGCCGTGCGAGCAAACCTAAAGTCAAAACTGGCTGTCGGACATGCAAGTGAGTTGGGCGGCTGCCTTGTTACACTACCTGACATAGTGCTTATTCTATACACAGGATCCGTCGAGTCAAATGCGACGAGGGTCGACCGGCGTGCAAGAGGTGCGTGTCAACCGGTCGCGTTTGCGATGGCTATGGAATTTGGAGCGAAGGAAGGAAAACCACCCATGGCGGTAATTCTGGCGCACCGAGGGTTTTCCAGTCTCTCCTGTCTAGTTACAATGCACCGGTACCAATTCCCCATGCCGCATGTGCTGAACAGAAATGTGTGGAATGGTTCATCCAGTGTACCATTTTCAAGATCGGAGGAGTGTTTTCTTCCCAGTTCTGGGGCAGGACAGTTGTTCAAGCACTTTCTCAAGAGCCAGCAGTGCGACATGCTGTTATGGCATTGGCTTCTACGCATAGATATAGGGCTCAGAGGAGCGACAAGGGTACTACAATGGCGAGCCAGCTAAGCGAGCATGAGAAGTTTACTCTTCAACACTACAACAAAGCTATTGGCTGTCTCCATGCTGAAATGAGACGCCACAGTCAACGACCGCAGAGTGTGATGGTTGCCCTCATTACTTGCATGGTATTCGTGACTCTCGAACTGATGCGAGGCCAATACCGAACGAGTCATGCTCATCTACAGCACGGGCTGAAGCTGGTGAAGGAGATTCAAAAACTCTCCGGAACCTCTAAGACCGGAAAGATTATGATAAAGACTTCGTCGCAAACAAATGAGGATGATGTTATCGAGGCCTTTAGCAGACTGGGAATGCACTATTCTCTGCTTGGACATGGGACAAAATACTCGAACCTTGACTATGACATCCAACCTCGTCATTTACCGTACAAATTTGAGTCAACTGAACAAGCAAGACAATATCTGGATGTTTTCTTAGCAAGAGCACAGTGTCTGGTGGAATTGGCTCGTCACATCGAGACGGGCATGTGTGTCGCGACTCGGGGCTACGAGCAATATCTTGAGTCTCAATGGCGCCTGGAAAAGGACTTGAAAATATGGCTTGAAGTTTATAGATCGTCACTTGGTGGATTTCCAGCTCAAGATTTGATTAAACGTACATTGGCTACAAGGTTACTCGTGATGTACCATACCATGGCCTTGATCATGGCCACGACCTGCACGCCATGGGACGACGAAACGGCGTTCGACTTACAGACCGACAGGTTCATTTCCATTATCCGCGAGGCAATCGACATGTGTCAAGCCCTCAGAACCGCATACCCAGATTTTCCGGCGAGTGGATCTCTCAATTGCCCATTGGGGATGGCATTTACGATGGACATTGGCTTCATCCAGCCATTATATTACACTGCAATCAAGTGCCGGATTCCTCAGATCCGACGACACGCGATCGGGTTGCTTCGATTGGCACCTCACCGTGAAGGCATATGGAATGGTGCCCTCACTGCTAGAATTGCGGAGGAAGTAGTCACATATGAAGAGTGGAATATCGATGCAAGCTTTACAGTTGGAAAAAGCGTGGAACTCCTCAGCCTGCCAGAAGCGGGTAGTTCAATTACAATCCTGCCTTCTCTGTGCCGCATCTCAGATGTTCATGTCGAATTGCCCGATGAGAACACGGGAGAGGCTACTGTGACGTTCTGGCAGCGCGAAGACGGTAGAAGCTGGAAGGTTGACGAGAGAAAATTCCAGACGGAGGATCCATAAGCAAATCTCAAACTTTGGAGCCGTCCCTTTTTTTCTGAAGCTGACCGTCCAGAGCGATTATGACATCATGACACACTGGCAGCTCAGCCAATCACAATCAATGTGATAAAATCTTACCGATCATCAACAAAGAAAATGTAATGATCGACTGACTCGTGCTCAGCACCAGCGGCGCATGGTGGAACGTTTGGAATGTGAAGCTCAGCCACTATCAGCAAAAACAGAAGCTAGCTACCTACTTTGTAAATGCTCAGTCAGTGATTTGCAACCGGGATGGACGGCGCTGGCATTTGCTGGTTGGGCCCCTTAGTCAGTCTTACCCCATGCTTACTTACCCATCCGCGCCCCGCCCCAGCCAATCCCGGATCTCTGGCCAGGAGTATAAAGTCGATCAGCGATCTAGACAAACGACGAAATACTTTCTTCAGAATGCAAATTGCAACACCATTCTACCTCCTCCTATTCTTTGTTCCTTTAATATTTCTCCTCATCAAGTCAATTCTTCCCACCAACTCCGTTATGTCCAAACCTCTTGCCCACGCTTCCATTGTCGCCCGTCGCTCTAGTGAGCGCGGGTACGCCGAACACGGCGGCTGGCTTAAAAGCTTCCACACCTTCAGTTTCGCCAGTTACTATGACCACCGCTTCAACAACTTTGGCAGTCTGCGCGTTCTCAACGAGGATCGTGTAGCGGCCCGTAATGGATTTCCGACCCACCCTCACCGCGATGCCGAAATCTTCAGCTACATCCTCAACGGCGAGCTCACGCACCGCGACAGCATGATCAAAAAGGGTGCGGAAGGCGCCCAGGGCAAGCAATTTTACCGCATGAAGCGTGGTGATGTTCAGTTTACCACTGGTGGAACAGGTACGTTGTTTGCATTGAACTCCACCACCTTGATTTAATGACCGAACTAACACAACTCCTTATAGGAATCGCACACTCCGAACAAAACGAATCCAACAAGCCCGTCCACTTCCTCCAGATCTGGGCTCTTCCCTGGAAACATGGCCTCAAACCCCAATACCACACCCGCACATTCGACGAAGCCGCCAAGCGCAAAGCATTCGTCCCGATCCTCTCCCCGCTGGCTGCCGGGCCTGAAGCAACCCCTGCCGATGAGGAAGCCGCCGTCCCTAAGATCCCAGACACGATCCCAATTCACGCAGACTTTGTGATGGGCGCGGGAATCATTGAACCAGGGCAGAAGTTCCATTGGACTGTGGGTGCTGGCGAAGACGTGGTCAGTCGCAAGAAGAAGAGGAACGTCTATGTGCATTTGCCCATGACGAAGAACGGCAAGGCCCAGATCCGGTTGGATCATCGGGACGAGGCGGTTCTGAGTGAGGGTGATGGAGCGTTCATCACAGGGGTGAATGCGGGTGATGTGCTGAGTGTGGAGAGTGTTGGGGATGCGGAGGCCGAGGTTATTGTTTTGGATAGTGATTAGTTGGTGTCGATGATTTCTTTGCTTCCTTTGGCTGGGTGTAAGGTGTTTGGGACTTATCCTCTCTACATATAATGCATCATGTATTTTCTCACATTACAATAATTATTTGTACCATAAGTGATTTCACGATACGTCATGAATATATCCATATAGATGATGATATCAACTACCCTCTACATTAGATGTATATGCCGGACTACCACCTACCCAACAAACCAATCCCTCAATATCATACACACCCAGAAACCGAACAGAGACCCTCCCTATAACTCACCTCCCCAACACCATCCCCGCCCACTCCACCATAACCCCCGACTCCGCAACCTCCCGCGCCGACATCCTCCCCTCCGGCTCATAAACCAACATTCCCCCCAGCAACCTCCTCAAACAATCCATCTCCAGCTCCTGAAACTCACAAGTCGAAGACGTCTCCCCCCTCCCCATCTGCCACAATCTCTCATCCAAAGACCTCCCCCCAGTCCCCACCACCTTCATCAAGGACCTCGTAAAATCCGATCTCTGCCCCCATCTCTCCGGCAACTCACCACCCAGCATACTCACCATCTCCCAGATAACATCATCTGGACTATCTGACCAGGGTTCAAATAGTGGTCGGTCACCGAGGATATCGTAGAGCGTACATCCTAGTGTCCATATATCGGCGGCTGAAGTTATCGGATCGTGGAAGATGGCTTCGGGAGGGAGGAGGATGGTAGGTGTGTGTAGGGCTTCTGGGGATGGAGGGTTGGTGAAGAGGTAGGATGTGCCGAAGTCGGATATTTTGATGTTGATGTTGCTGGTTGGGAGTTGTTGGGTCATGGTCATGGGGATGATGGCGTGGGTGGGTGCATGTGGATGGATGGAGTGGTGGTGGTTGTCGATTCGTGAGATGGGAATTTGGAAGGGTGGGCCGAAACGGTTGTATATATCGGTTGTACTTAGGGTGTCGAAGTCAGTGGGTTGGAAGAGGATATTTCGCGTGTGGAGATCTTTGTTGGTGGTCAGTCAATCACTAAAGACACGATGTGTAGATAGGTGCTTACCTCCATGCCCTACCCCCCGGGAATGCATATAATCCACTCCCAAGATAACCTGAGCAACGATAGCTTTAGCTACATCCAAGGGGAACATCAAATTGGGACTATTCTCTTTGGCTTCAGCAACACTGCAGCCAGCGACTTCGCTGACCAGACACATATGGTGGCCGTTTGGGCCGTCGAAGGAGAACTCATCGAGCAGGGAAGAATGAATGTATTTACGGCCTGGGTGGCTACTATCATCTCCTGTCTGGAGATGTCGTAATATTCTCGACTCGAGGCGGCTTTTTTCTGTGCTAGAGTCTGCGGTTACGATCTTTAATGCGACGTATTGGTTTTTTTGTCTGTCGCGGGCAAGCCAGACGGTTGAGTAGGAACCGTACCCTAGTTTGTGGATGATTTTGTATCTTCCATGGCAGAATTCGTCGTTGATGGAGGTCGGGTGGTAGCCTCCCGGGGTGTAGCCTTTTAGGTTCTCTACGCTGTCTTCGGGGTGGTAGGTGGGTTGGGTGATTGGTTGTGGTGGTGGTGTGGGTTTGGGTGAGTAGAGAGGATGGATGGTGGTGAGGCTGCGTAGGGGCTTTGATGCTTTTTAGTAGGGGATGTACGATAGGGGTGCGAAGTACTGTCTGATCTGGACTTACGCGAGGGAGCTGTTTACATGCTAGGGATCGTGTCTGGAGGACACGGAACATGATGGTGTTGTTACTTGAAGCTGTACTATGTAGATATTCTGCGCATGGTGTATGGTTATTAGAAAATTTCTAGCAAGGGAGACGCGCCTGAAGTGATGCTGCGTGCCTACTTTCAGTCCACTGCGATGCATACATACAATGTTTGCCATAATCATATCTGCTTCCCATCAACCCCAGGGGGAATGATCTCCCAGACTCGATCCAGACAGTTACTCCAACATGAAGTGGAGGCAGTGGTGGTTAAAGTTGACGGAGGAATCCACCGCACCCGAAAAGAGAGTGTGGCCGACGAAGAAAATCCTGCGCTGGGGCGGCTTCTTGGCACCACCAACGCAGTCTCTGTACGTAATGCGGCAGCCGTGAATCGGAGACAATGTGGGTTGGGTGTCTCCAACTCTTAATTCAAGTAGCCTATTATCCCAGGTCTAGTCTAGTCTTTATGTACATTTCCATATGAGAGGGGCGAGGATCATGGGACGTCCCCTGTTTTCTCCTGGTTCTTGAAGCTGGTCCATAGTTGTTTTTGCTAGGTAACTGCTAACCTTATCTTTGTGTGCCCAACTCTTGACCCCGTTCTGCCCTGGGCTTGAATACCTACTCAGCTTGTTTCATCGCAGAAAGAGCTATTTCCAGACTTGCAAGCTCCACGACCCCAAAAACTCTTTTTGTGGAGGCCGTTTCTTGGATAGATACTTTCTAGCCCTGTTTGTGGCTGTTTCGGCGAATCTGAGCGGCCTGAAATCTGAGGCCCCGCATTCTTGCTTTCACAGCCAACTTCATCGCTACCTTCTTCTGTGTCTATTGCGCCTTGTCTACGCCATAGAATTAGAGATCATCGTCACAGCTCTTCATCATGGCAGCTCTCGATGTCAATGGCCCCTTGCCCGAGCTGGCTGAGCAGCAGCCGGACGATCTCATCCCCGAGTCCCGGGTCCTCATTATCATGACCGGTGGTACGATTTGTATGCGACAGTCCCCATCAGGCTTCATTCCTGCCAGAGGATTTCAGGAGCAATGTTTGGCCCGCGTGCCGACCTTCAACGATGGTTCGCACCCGAGCATGATGGATGTGGTGGTCAACTCAGCCGGAGACATCAAAGGACATCCCACCCTCCGCACACCACCGACTGCCTATGGGCGACGGGTGCGGTACACTGTCTTCGAGTTCGAAGAGCTCCTCGATAGCAGTTCTATCGATGCGAAAGGTTGGGCTCAGATCGCTCACACCGTTGAACGAAATTACACACTTTTCGATGGCTTCGTCGTCCTCCACGGAACAGACAGTCTCGCATACACATGCTCAGCGCTTAGCTTCATGTTGCAAAACCTTGGAAAGCCCGTCATCCTGACTGGAGCGCAAGCGCCCATGCTGGAGTTGCAGAATGATGCCACCGATAACCTTCTCGGATCACTGGTTGTGGCTGGCCATTTCATGATCCCCGAAGTGTGTCTGTATTTCAACAACCGACTGTTCCGTGGCAACCGGTCGATCAAGGTCGCAGCCAGTGATTTCGCTGCCTTTGACTCTCCGAACTGCCCCCCGCTGGCGGTGACAACGTCCATGCGGACCAACGTGAACTGGGAGCTGGTCAACCGACCGAAGAGCCTGGAACATTTCCGTATCCAAACCAACCTCGACACCACCCACGTGGCGTGTCTTCGTATCTTCCCTGGTATCAAGCCGGAGATGGTCGATGCCGTGCTGAAGCTGGAAGGGCTCCGTGGTTTAGTGTTGGAGACGTTTGGCGCCGGTAACGCACCCAGCGGTCAAGACAATGCCATGACCAATGTATTGGCCGCCGCTATCAAGCGAGGAATCGTGATCGTGAACGTCACGCAATGTAAGTGAAGCCCTGGCATATATTTTCCAACCCAGAGTTTCTTCTGACACAGTCAACCAGGCCTGACGGGAAGCGTCAGCCCCGTCTATGCCCCCGGCATGAGTCTCTCTCGCGCGGGAGTCGTCGCCGGACTCGACCTGACCACCGAAGCCGCACTAACCAAGATGTCATATCTCCTCGCTCTTCCGGATTCCACCCCAGAATGGGTCGCGAAGAAAATGTCCGTATCTCTTCGCGGCGAATTGACCGAGGTATCGCAGCCCGTATTCCGTCATCCGGACGGGGCGCTCCCTGAGCGCGTTCAGTCCCTCACGGTGCTCGGATACGCCATTGCGCAGGGTGATCTCGAGCGCGTGGAGGAGATTGTGGCCCGAGAACACCAATGGTTATTGAATGACGCCGACTACTCGGGCAACACACCTATCGTAAGGCAACCCCCTATGCCCCAGTTGTAAACACAAAAAAAGAAAGAACAAAAACTGACACCCACGTCACCTCCACAGCACCTCGCAGCAACTTCACCCTCAGTTGAGATTCTCCGATACTTGCTGCTCCAAGGTGGCTCCGTGCACTTGCGAAACCGCAATGGTCGGACGCCGCTGTTCCTGGCGGCCAACGCAGGATTCTCGGAGCACGTGCTGCTGCTACGCAAGTCTGGAGCACATCTGCACTCTGACGAACGCACGGCGGCGCAGTTGTTGGCCCGGCGCCGACCTGGCGTCTGGGGGTTGGCGGGGATTGGGCCGCGTGAGGTGAGTGAGCGCGAGATGGAGGAACTGGAGGACTCGAGTGATTCTATAGGACGTATGGCGCAGCGAGTGATGGCGGGATCGGCGCCTTGAAGATGGCGATCGTTTTTCTTTTTTACCCTACTCTCTTTAGAGACAGGAAGGGAGCTGTGATGGTTTAGAGCCGTTTTGGTGGGTTTTTTTATTTAGACGGAAAAGCGTTTTGTTGTTATTCTAAAGCTTTCATTCACACGCTGCCTGGTACACCTCACAGTATACTTGATGATAGAATGAGGGGAATGTCACGTTATGATGACCACCAAATATAACTCCCATGAGAACACAACTACTATTGAATTACTATTTACTATGTAGACAGCGAGAAAAGGGAAGTCCTTTCCGCGGAGATACCTGACCAACATGCAGGATCCCTGGGCATGCAGGTCGGGGTCATGCATGTCGGATGGATGGAGGGGAAGAGGACAATGGACGACGGCCAACCCCGCTTTGAATTGCGCCATTGCTGAGATATTTTATTTTTTTTATTCCCAGCTGAGATGCGTTATTATGGACTTAGTACTAGTATACTAGTAGTAGTCTAGTGTGTACTGGGGCTTAGTGAGCAGGTACCTAAATAGTGGCTCCAAGGACCTTCCTCATCGGGAGAAAATATCTACATTTATTGGCTGGCTGTTAACAACAGCAGCAGTAGTAGTATACTTCGTACAGTAGTGCTACTACTCCGCTAACAAAAAAGTATGACGGAGCAGCTGACCAGGTTGCACATGATCAATTCAAAGGCGGTGGTGGCTTGATGACGATGATGAGCTCCTAACTAATCTTAGTTATAATATACTATCTCACTAAACTTGATGTTTCTTAGATTCTACTAGATTGACCTGGACAAAGTCTGTGCTCTCACCCACGCGGTTGCTGCTCTCTCCTAATTAGTAGTAGTTCCAGGGAAAGATAAGGTGTTGATCAGATGAAGGTTGCTCCCTTGCAGACATGGCCCGGATGTGTTGTCGCACGGTTGTCGTACCGTCTGCTTGTTTGGTATGAAAGCTCTTCCTTCCCCTTGCTGACCTTGTGGGAGGATTAACCTGAATGAGTAAATTGAAAAAAAGGAGTCCAAGGGGTACTTCCTCTCATACTACTGAGGACTAAAACTTCATCCACAGGCCCGTAGAGAACCACTTTCGTCGCAAAAAAGAGCCCCAGAAGGAACACCGCTCTCGGGTCTTGGCAGACGCGTGAGAAGCTGCGGCGCACGGATTGGTCGGTAAGAAGGATTTGGACCGATGGGTCTGGAGAGCAACGTGGGCTGCTCGGGCTTTGTCAGTCGGCTGTGACGGCGGCTTCTTCGCTAGTTAAAGTGGATTTTCACTTGCTATCCTTCATGACATTAGAAATAATTCAATGAGGGCGGAAGAAAGAGAAAGAGGGAAAAAGAGAATAAAAACGGAGATAGATACATTAAAGAAATTCAAGAACCGATACTGTAGGTGAGTGGAAAGAAAGATAGAAGTATAACGTCTTGACTACTGTAGTAGAAGACTGCCTCAGAATCGGTGGCTGTCCCCCGAAGTCGATCAGTGGGAGGCCGCTATTTCCCCGCCCACACTCTTCATTGACTGTCATTGGCTGGGACTTGCCGGGATCGGACATTCTTTGATAGAAATGCACTTTGCTTTTTCTTGCTACCCAAATTCAGCAATAATGAAGAATCTCTCCTACGTACTACTTTAGCTGGAACCGTTAATGTTGGAAGGTGCATCGCATACCTATACTACCTTCCAATATAGAGGATGTCCCATGGGTTGAGATTGCGCCCTACAATAGACACTATTCTCAGATTGAATCATATTACGACATCCTCGTGATGCCATACTACTAGTTCTTTCTTCTATGTATCATGATGATGATGGTGGATTTGGCTGGTCCGTTCAGCTCCCCTTCCAGCCACCCCTGAACTGCATCCGAGTTACGTAAAGGAAAGAAGGTCAATGGTCACTTCAACATCGAGGACATCGAGGACATCGTGGGCACTTCTAGCAACATCCAACAAGGTCCCGTCTTCCTGTCAGGGCTGCTGCTCTAGTTGCCTCATCTGCCGAGCTGGCCTGTCATCCCCGGCTTTGGAAACGAATGGTGCAAGAACCAACCACGCAATGGAAGATGGCAGCGAAATCTAGAGAAGCGTACCCTCAGGAACAGAGGGCCGAGTACCTTGGAATCGCGTCAGCCATCCAGAGTTTGCAATTCCGCCTGACACCGTTCAATCAAATGGCCTTCCATTCTATGACTGTTTCGCATTACTCGATATAAACCCGCTCGGAAAGCACATCGGAAGGCGTACCCATCACATCATGGGACCGGGGCAGCTTTTCTGGCCAGGATTTTCCCAGAGGAGTCAAGAAATTCACTCATGGGTACCACCTCCCATATTAGATGCAAACCCCAGACGATCCCAATCCAGACCAGCCGATAGTCGTCGTGGGCTCATCGGGTCCCCGTTGCCGCAGCACACAGACCGCAGTTACTTCCCTTTCTTTCTTCTCTACAACGTCGCTTCCAGGCCCCCCTAGATACGTGGGCATCGAACACACCGACTTGTCCTAGAAAGGGGGAGAAGGTTTCTATTTCGGTTCATAGACCAGCTTGTCCCTTTTATAAGGCCTTACCTCCTACGTAGTCACTGCATCTTCCCTTTGACACCTTCGTTAATTGTATTTCATCACCATCCTCTTCCCCCAATCTGATAAAGCTTGTGCAGTCTCCCCTGACCAACAGGGCTGATTAGGGTCATTGTGGGTGCGAATCTCGGAACCAAGCACTAGACCTGATCCACGGCTCTTTTTTTTGTTGAATTTTTATTATTTTATTTTTCCCGCCAATTTCGCCATATTCCGATTCAAACTGCAGCGAAATTAATTAACGGATTATTACTGATCTTTGCTTTTGCTGTGTTATTTTTATTTTTATTTTTATTATTTTATTTTTGGTGCATTCGGACTGAAAAACCTTCAGTTTGTGTGAGGTCATTTCCTTGCCTGGTGCGCCAGACCGGCTCTGGGGGGTGTCCACTTGTTCGGCCTCGTTGGAGCATTCGGTGATTCTTATTATTCATATTATTCTCTCGACGAGGGAGATCCGTGCCTGCAACGGAGGAGGCGCTGCTTTGCATTAACTAACAAAAACCTGGCTTTTGGCGAGCAGCCCGGCTGTGTCGGTCTGAAGTTGGAGCACCTAATATCTCATCATCCGCCGTTGTCTCCAACATCATCGATCGTTTTTTTTTTCGGTGGTGGGATTCTCTTTTTTTTTTTTTTTGTACAAGTAGTACTAGTGTCCCGCGGCTTTCTTTTTGAACCACAGCAACAGCTGCAACAAACAACAGCTGCCTGACCGGTCATCGTCTTGCACCATTGAAATCTTCGATTGCGGCATTGTCAAATCAACTGTCTCCCCAGGCAATCTTATCCCACTGAGCTATATAACTCTCCGTCCCTCGTGCGCGCCTCCGCCAACTGCTCCGTCTAAACTACCCCACTGTTCCATTCGTCAAGGTACCACCACTAGCAGTCTAGGACAGCAACTGGTATTCGTACTACTACGCAAGAAATTCTCTCGACAACTGCAACACACGATCACACCTGCTGCCTCTTCAACCTCCACAAAATCACTAGTTGGCAATAAATCGGTCTCGCATTGACTCAATTTCCCATTCTGGGAGGCCACCTGACCCGACTCCAGATCTGCTCGACTGCCCGACTTAGACTTACTTCGTGTTCGTCCGCTGGTCACTTTTTCCTCCCCTGCTTTACTTTTACCCCGCATACTTTTTTCTTCATCTTTTTTTTACTTTTTAAATCTCCCCCCCCTCCACTATATTCTCCTCCTCCTACCGCGGAGAATTATCTTTTGCACCCGCATTCACAATACATCCCCTCTCCCACTATAACTCATGACACAACAAAGAAAGACCATTGCCGTGGTGAACGCTACGGGTCGCCAGGCGGCGTCTCTGATCCGTGTCGCTTCGGCAGTGGGCCACCATGTTCGCGCTCAGATCCATTCGCTCAAAGGCCTCATCGCGGAGGAATTACAAACCCTGCCCAATGTCACTCTCTTCCAGGGCCCCCTTCTGGGCAACACAGAGCTGATGGACTCCCTGTTCCAAGGGGCCAATCTTGCGTTCATCAACACTACCTCCCAGTCTGGCGACGAAGTCGCGATCGGACGCGCCTTGGCCGATGCCGCCAAGCGAGCAGGAACCATTCAACACTACGTCTATAGCAGTATGCCCGACCACTCTGTGCATGGACCGTGGCCTCCGGTGCCCCTTTGGGCTCCCAAGTTCACCGTGGAGAATTACATTCGTCAACTCGGTCTGCCCTCGACTTTCGTCTACGCCGGAATCTACAACAACAACTTTACAAGTCTACCATACCCCCTCTTCCAGATGGAGCTGATGCAGGACGGAAGCTTCGAGTGGCACGCACCTTTCGACCCGGATATTCCTCTCCCCTGGCTGGATGCTGAGCATGATGTGGGACCGGCGCTGCTGCAGATCTTCAAGGATGGGCCCAAGAAGTGGAATGGTCATCGGTAGGTCTTTCTCGGTCATTCATCGGAGGGTGACATGGAGCTGATAGCTGATTTACCGCAGGATCGCCCTCACATTCGAGACGCTCTCCCCGAACCAGGTCTGTGCGGCATTTTCGCGCGCTCTCGGTCGCCCATGCCGCTACGTTCGCGTGCCCAAGGTCGAAGTCAAGGTCAACATCCCGCCCGGCTATCGGGAACAATTGGAAGCCATTGAGGTGGTGTTTGGACAGTGCGATGCACCCTACTTCCCGCAGCCCGAATTCTCCCGCCCTGCGGCCGGGTCGCCGAAGGGCCTGGGCCCAGCCAATGGCAAAGGTGCGGGTGCGGGTATGATGCAGGGTCCCGGAGGGGTCATATCATTGCGTGTTACGGATGAGGCCCGGCACCTGTGGCAGGGCTGGCGAGACATGGAGGAATACGCGCGCGAAGTCTTCCCCGTGGAAGAGGAAGCGAACGGGCTGGACTGGATGTTGTGATGGCGCGATCTGACGTGCTGTGTTGCACTTCGGTGAGCGATGGGGAGGGCGGCCGCAAGGTCGATTCAGCGATGGGCGCGATTGGCTCGATAAAGAGGTTACATCGATTGTCTGAGCGCAAGCCGAAACCGGCCGGTTGTCCTGTCCCTCACTCCCACCGCTGCGTTCAGTGCTCTCTGGTTTTCCTTCAATTTCTTTTCATTTCTGATTTTTTTTTATTATTTCATGCATTACTGGCGAACTGGCCTGGGTCTTATCTTTGGGAGACGGAAAAATTATACCATAATGGGAAAGACGAAGACGCAGGAGTGGTTGTCAAGATGGGGCCCATTTCATCTCATCTCATCTCACCGCGGAAAAAGTTTCTATATTAATGGGTTGCTGGTTGAAACGCACGTTACGAATTTTGCAGGCATGATGATGGACATGTCGGATTGGAGGCCAATCCGCCAAAAGTTTATTTTGACTATTTGTTTCACGCTTATGTTTTTCTTTTCTTTTTTCATTCTCTTTTCTTTCACTTCTTCACTATGCATTTCAAGTGATCTGCATTTATGTGTTTGCCGATTATTCCCCTCGGGTGTGATGATCGCACCGGCGGCTGTTTGTTTGTTTGATTGAGTCTCCTGATGAAGGGATGTGATTTGATTGATTGATTGACTGGCTGGATTGATACTCAAGACCCATGGTGACTTGGGTAGATAGCAAAGCTAATATTTGGAATGGACTAAGCTCATTCTCAGTCCGCCAGACATGCTACTTGTCGTTTCCATTGCGGTCACTAACCCCCTTACTTGACTGATGCGATTGAATTGCCAGCAAAATCACAGCTTCGATCGATCTCGAAATTCCATCCATGGAGTATAAATCACAACAAGCAGCACCTCCAAAACCCGCCTTGAAATTAAACTACATACTAAACTATACCCCAAACAAAGCTAACCCGCACCCCCAGCCTGTTTTTCGCCACCGATAAGCAGATCTCCCGGAAAAAGCAACGAGTTGCTGGGGAAAACCCGCCCGAAGCGATCCCTGTTGTGGCGTGAGTTAGTCTAATTTGATAAAGAGGTGGGCTGGAACATTCTCTTCCTGTGGAGGTAGGTAGGTAGGTAAGCGTGGTTGATGATAACGTTATTGACTTACTACTTACTACAGTGGATAGATTTCAATAATGTATGGTGTAAGACAAGTGTAGTGCAGATTTGTGGCAGTTATCGCAGAATAAAGAGTAAGTAGTGTAAGCACCTGACACAAGTATTAGAGGAGTAGTACATGATGTCTTACATTGTTTGCTACTATTGATATGATGGTCACTTGTCAGTCAGTCTTTCCCTACCGTTGGCGGGGAGGGGAGTTACTGCTCCATGACTCCGTAGGGGAAACGCAGCATTCGGAGACCTCCGTGCTACCTACTTACTCACCTACCTACTTATCATCATTTATTACTCGAATCAATTGACTTACGGATCATCCCACCATCCTTCCAATCCTTCTTTCCCACTAGATACTAGCCAATAAGCCTTCCTTCCATGCACTTACTTATCCAACTGCTATCTAGGTAGAATAGTCAGTTATTCTCCGGAACCATTACCCCCCCCTCTTACTAATCCACCCATCCACCAATATGTACTAACTACTACAAAGTAACTAACCAAATTTAGTTAAATTAACAGCTACTTACCTTCCCGTGCAACCTACCCAAACCAGCCTAGCCAGCCAGCCAGCCAGCCAGCCATACAGTAAGCAGAGCATAAGCATAGCATAACTACGTAGTTACTAATCTCCTCCCCTGAACTAAACCAACTACGGCAGGGAAAGCTAAGCAGCTAATTAACCAACAAAACTACTAACTACGTAGGCACCTTCCGCCCGTCTCAGCCGCGCCCGCGCCCGCGCGCTGACTGACCATAGTAACTTAGTACTACTACGCGCAGTAACCAAACCAACCAGTAAACTTTTTTGAAACGATCAGAAATTTTTTTTTTCCCTCTCTTCCTACCATATCTATATATACCCACTTACTTCCCATTTACTTTTGGATACACAAAACTATTCATTGACTCGTCTCTATTTTTTGTTTTTTGGTTTAAATCAATTGGATAAAAAAGACACAGCCGTCATGTCTGCTGAGGAACAACAAGCTAACACGTCGCTGTTGGAGCGCATTCAGCGCCCCGAGGTGAGCAAGGAGACGGCGAAGAAGATTTCTTTGATTGAGGAGCAGTTTGCTAGGGCGGAGGTGGAGCAGTGTATGTTCTTTTCTTTTCTATTTCCTTTTCTATTTCCATTGTTTTTGGTTTTGTTGAGTTGGTTGTTTATTTGGTAATGGGGTTTGATCTATTCTAATTAATGGGTATATAGTGCGCCAGTCTACTCTCCTGCTTCGTCCTCTGTTCGAAAAGCGCACCCAGGTCATCGCCGAGCCGGATTTGCGCGACACCTTCTGGACTCGTGTTATGCTCAATGCGCCCGCCGAGGTCGAGGAATACATCACCATGACTGATGCCACGATCCTCGCTTCGACTCTGAAGAATCTGACTGTTGAGCGTTTCGAGATCGATGAGAAGGGCCAGGGCGAGCCCCGCAGCTTCCGCTTGACTTTCGAGTTCCGTACCGGCGATGAGAACCCTTACTTTGAGAACGAGAAGCTCGTCAAGACCTTCTACTGGCGCAAGCAGGTCATCACTACCCCCAAGGGTCACAAGCGCACTTGGGACGGTCTGGTCTCTGAGCCTGTCCGCATCAACTGGAAGAAGGACCAGGACCCTACCAAGGGTCTGCTGGACGCTGCTTGCGACCTTGCTGAGGCGGAGAAGAAGGGCGGAGACCGCAAGAAGCTGCCTGAGTTCACCAAGGTCCTTGAAAAGAAGGACGAGATTGAGGCTGCTGAGGACCAGGAGATGGGTGATGATGAGGATGAGCTCCCCGAGGATGGCCCCGGTGGTATGAGCTTCTTCGCTTTCTTCGGTTACCGTGGCAGCGATGTCACTGCTGAGCAGTCTGAGACCGCGACCAAGGAGGACAACGAGAGGTTTGAGAAGCTCCTCAAGGGCGAGCCTGTTGAGGGCGAGAATGATGAGGAGGATGATGACGAGGATGACGATATTGAGGATGAGTTCGATGACATTGAAGTCTTCCCTGGTGGTGAGGAGCTCGCTATTGCGATCGCTGAGGACCTCTGGCCCAACGCCTTGAAGTACTATGGTGAGTGATTTCCATATCCCGTAAGAAATCCAAGCTGACCTCCTTCCAGTCACGGATCAGGACATCGAGGAGGTCGACTTTGACGACAGCGAGCTTGATATCTCGGGAGACGAGGAGGAGGACGAGAACGACCGTCCCCGCAAGAAGACCAAGGTCTAAAGATATCACCGTGTCTTGTCTTGAATAACGCAGTTGTAACCATATGTTTCCATGTCTTAAAGAACAACGAGCAGGATGAGGAGGAGGACCAAAACGAATATGAGGACGGCAATGCAAAAGGATGACATTGTATCTAATTGATAATCAGCCAACGTGTTTCTTCCGAAAAGGCACAATGTAAAAATGTCAGAGTGTAACCACTTACCCTCATTCTTCCGTATGATGTATTTCAGCCTCGACATGCCATTCTGCAGCTTGCCGCCCACTCGGTCGGCCAACGTATCCACCTCATCTATCATGACCCCCTGTTCCTCCAACTCTCTCCCCATATCATCAGCCTGCTGTCGCAGGTTCCCTACCGTGCGAAACACCCCATCCAACTGCTCATCTTGCTCGTGCATCAACTCCATCTGTCGTTGCTGCTCCATCGCAGCATAGTAATCATCTCCCTGATCCTCCGCCGACGGCGACAAGACATTATCAAAGTCAGCCGGGTTCGGCAGCGCACCAGTCGTGCCCTTCCCACCACTCGAAGCTGTAACTGCCCTCTGCAACTCCTCCCTCATCTTCTCCACCTCGGCACCGACATCGTTAACGAGAATTCGTCGGCGCTGGACTTCTTCCAGTTCTAGACCGAATCGATATGGATCTTGCTCGATTGCACGCACACTCTCGACTAGATCGTCGAGGTCCGCGGTTAGATCGGTGAGGGTGGTCTCGAGCTCGGAGCGCGCTTGTTGGAGCTCCGGGTTATTGGGAGATTTGGCGAGGGAGCGAATGCGGAGATAGGAGGAGAAAAGAGGTCGTGTGGATTGGAGGGTTGAGAGGACGTCGCTGTTGGCATTGGATTGGTGCTACGTCAGCTTCCTGGCTTGATGGGTTGTAGATTGAATGGATCAATAAGGGGGAGAGAAACTTACGCTTGGACTTGGAGGAAGGGGTCTGTGTGGTCCATGGTTGTTGGGTAGTTGGGTATATGCTAGGGGAAGATCATGAGATAGTTACAATGGGTCAAACAACGCTTCCAGAGATGCTTTGAGTGGTTGGGAATAGCGGCGATAGTGATGTTGATTGGGTTCAGAGGATCCGGAGCCGATTACTACGGAGGCCCGGGGTTGCGGGCGGTGAAGAAGGCGGCGTGGAGCCATATCGAAGATCTATCTAGAATGTCTAGATGGGCCTCTTGTCTTACACTGTAGTAAATAATGATGACATTCTTGTTCTCTTCCAAGTTCGTTCAGATAAGAATAATATGACAGAATGATCCCAGCTCATCCAATAACTGTGGTGAAAACGCCCATGGTAAAAGCACGATGGAGGCCGACGTGTCGCTGACTCCACATCTCCCTCAGGTATCGCTCTGCAGCACGATTAAACTCTCTTCCTCGGGCATCAATGAGTGCAGGCTTGACGCTCCAACTTCTGACTCGTCGCTTGCAGTCACAATCCTGGCAGCCTAGGTCGGGCACATTCTTCCAGGCTTTCCAGTAGTTGTCGAGCGGGTCTGAGAAATGGCACTTCCTAACACCGCAATCAGTAGCTTTCACATCAAGATCGCAGCAGTCGTTCTGAGGACTCAAGAACAGCTTCGCCAGTGACCGTGGCGGTTGTTTCAGGAGAAACCAGGATATGACGCTATATTCGTTCTTGGCGTCGCGGTGCCAGTCCTTGGGGCCGTGGCGGAGAAGCATGCGCTCCATGAGCTCGCGCAACATTCGCAGAGACGCGTGAAAGTCGATCTCGGTCTGTTCGTCAAGCCATCCTCGGAACTCTAGCCGCCTGCGGCCAATATCGGCCTCCACATATCCCCACTTTAGAACCGTATAGACGTGGTTGGTGTACTCTTCGAATGACATCAACTGTTTCCTGTGCTGGGGAAGCTCATCATACTCGTCCAACATCTTGCCGAGCACGAAGAGACGCCCACTGACAACAGGGGCCAGTGGCTTCCTGCTAGGCTTCAGCCTTTCGGTGTCACGCGCAATGTCGGCCATGTGAAAGAGGACGTGTAACCCTCGTTCCAACCGGTTGGCAAGGCGTAACTCCGCTTCAAAGTCCATCTCTGGAGTTCCGTCATCGCAGAAAGGTCCCCACACTGATGGTACAATATGTCGTGATAAGTCCTTGGCGATGTTGTGGCGCTGGAAGAACCTTACGAGGGAGTGCACAGTTAGTGTGCTCTGCTCTCCCGTCCACGGGTTAAGGGTAAGAATGGGGTCGAATTCCAGCGCATGGAAGCGCATAAACCAGCCACAGATATGCGGCTCCAACATCTTGATGGTCTCGTATGTGGCGCGGTTCAACCGGCAGAGCGTCAAGATGGTGTTCACCTCGCCATTGATGATGATCTGAAAGAGCACATCGGCGACGAAGCCGAAGGGAAGGGCTTCCCGCCTCGGAGATGAGGTCAACATCTGCTTGAGGAGGCGGATCAGTATAGGACGTCTCTTGCGCATTTGTGGAGGAGGAGCTTGGCTGTGTATCGTCTTGTTCCGGAAGATCATCCCGACTTACCGTTGAAGCGGCACTTGAAATGTACCCTTTTGAGTGGTACAGGATCTAGAGGGCCCGGCGTGACATCGCCTTCTTTTAATAACGGGGCCCGAGGGATTCGCTGTTTCTTTTTCTTGGCAGTAAGGGGAAATATTGCCGTTTGGCTGATATCAAGCGTAGACGGTGTGACGCGTTGGCAGATTATCAGTTGGGCGCTTGGCTGCAGTGGTGCATACCGGAGGGCTGAGTACGCAGGATGCAGAATGCAGCAACCGAATGACAGTAAGCTGACTGGTCACCTTTCTTATATAATACGTGGTACCATTTCTGGGGTGGACTAGGCTTGGACGATGATGACAAGTCTTGACCACGTTTCAGGGTATCAGGCGATTTAGAGACTACGGGTGGAAGGGGATTGGAGGAGATAGACAGATAGAAAGAAAGAGAGTAGTAGTAGGGACAGGGAATTGGGGTTGCCAGCACCAGCCCGACTTTGCTGTTTGCCTTGGACACAAATTCTGGATTCTCAAAAGGGTCCAAAGTCACACGTAGCACGATGAACAGGACGAACTAGCGTCTTTGCTGAGTGTCGCAGGAGACACATGGAGGGTCGATGTATGGTCAAGCATGCGATCAGCGGCTTTCCAGGACTCACTAGCCCTGATAGTTTCAATAGTGCCCTTTGGAGTGGTCGCCAGGGGTTCAACCGGGAGGGAGGAGAGTAAGACACGCTAAGGAGATAGTATTGCTGTCAGAATTGCAGGGACCAATAGATAGGGGAGAAAGAAGAGAAAGGAGATAGAGGAGGGTCAGGAAGTTCAATAAACGTTGGTGGTGATGATTGATGAGTCGAGTTTGGATCCATCCGCTCTTCTGCCCTTCTCCTCCTCCATCTCCGCATTTCCCGACCCGGAGACTCCGTCCACCCTTAATGATGGAATAATGTTTGTTGACTGGATGCTTTCATCGGTGGGTCCGACCACGGCTAAACCACATCCGCCTTTTCGCTATCGATCGCCCCTCGAAAAATTTCGGGGTCGTGTATATCGATAGCAAATCACCCCACCACATCTCTCTTTCTCTCTTACTCCTCCCCATTTCTTTTCCTTGTTTGTTCTGTCTGTCTCTTCATCCCCGCCTTCCCGCATTGTCCTTTTCGCCCATTGGACTCCTCCCGTCAGACATCTTCACAATCCCTCAATCCGGTTCGGATGTCATCCTGCATATCCATCCCAGTCTAGCCCGATTTCGCTGCAATCGCACCTGACGCATGATTCCGTCGCAACCCCTCCCACTCGCCGAAGAGTGGACGGATCCGGATGCCTACGTCGAGGCCCTCCTGTCTTTCGCCAATTCTTCCGCCATCTTCAGGCATCTTTGCGGCGGTGTACACATCCTCGATTTCCTGACCCGAGAACCTGACCTGTATACCTCGCTGTTGCCGGAACACTGGAGGACCTTCTTCGACCAGCATGATATTCATGACATTCTGGACCTGCTTCTGCGGGATGACATCCGACCTCTGTTAGACCAGAGTCGGGAGGCTGCTGCGCGTGGCGGCGAGTCTTCCGCACAGTCGCGCGGGGCGCCTCTGCCTCCCTTGGACCTATTGGAGTATATCCATCAGATCCGTCGACTGAGTCTGGGGCGCGATTTCACCCCCGCGCAGCCCGGAACGCCGACGATCCCGAGGAAGATCGCGGTTGGCATGAATGTCAAGAAGTATCACGAGGTCGCGCACTTTTCGAAATACGTCGATTCGCTCTGTGACACGGTGAATGAACAACGGGGCGATCCCATTACACACATTGTCGATTTTGGTTCGGGCCAGAGCTACCTCGGACGGACGCTGGCGTGTGCTCCCTACAACAGACACATCGTTGCCATTGAGCGGAAGCATCAATTCATCAGCGGCGCGAAGGGGATGGATATCCATGCGAAGCTGCAGGAGAAGAAACGCGTCAATATGTACAATAAGAAACTGGTCAACTGCAAGACTTGTGCAGAACCGGATGCGCCTGCAGAGACGGATGCTGATCGTCAAGAATCCGCCAATCCGAAGGTGGATGCTACAGAGGGCCCAAGCGATGCGGCTGGTGGTAAGGAGGATATGGCCATGATCAACGTCTTCCGTGATATCAGTCTCGCACCTGGCGAGATTGGGTTCGCTCCTTACCGCAATGTCCCGAAAACTGCCACCGAAGAGGAAGTCGATCCGGAGAAACCTCGAGGTAAAATGGACTACATTGAGCATGAGATCAAGGACGGCTACCTCGAGCCCATCATCAAAGACGTCATCGAGACTGAGCCTGTCGAAGAGGAGACTGAAGGTCAAGGCGGATCAAAGGATGCTAACGTCATGGTCATCTCTTTACATTCTTGTGGCAACCTTCTCCATCACGGAGTACGGTCTCTGACCCTGAATCCCTCCGTTAAAGCCATTGCTATGATCGGATGTTGCTACAATCTGGTCACTGAGAGACTGGGTCCTGCTACCTACAAGCTTCCCATTCTCCGGTCGATGCATCCCCGTCTGACAAAGGATGCCGTTGCATACGACCCCCATGGCTTCCCGATGTCGAACCGTTTCGAGGTTTACGAACATGAAAGTGGAACGGGGATGAAGCTCAACATCACCGCGCGGTCGATGTCATTACAGGCCCCGTACAACTGGAGCAAGAAAGACAGCGAAGACTTCTTCACCCGCCACTTCTATCGGAGTCTGCTTCAGCGCATGCTTGTGGATCGCAAGGTAGTTGCGAAGCCCAAGAACCCAGACAATTCAGACAATCTTTATGAGGAATCCACGGAACCTGAAGATGCCGGAAACCCTCTGATTGTAGGGTCCCTGCGGAAATCTGCCTTTGTTTCCTTCTCCGCGTATGCCAATGCTGCGGTGACGAAGCTGGGTCGCGACCCGAAGTTCGGCGAGAAGGTCAAGGCAGGCATGGCAGATCTGACCGAGGAAGATTTCGATCGCTACGTGAAGGATTACTGGTATGCGAAAAAGAACCTGAGCGTGGTCTGGAGCTTGATGGCTTTCAGTGCTGCTCTGGTTGAGGCCATCATTGTCGTTGACAGATGGCAATTCCTGCGGGAACACGACTCCGTGAAGGAGTGCTGGGTTGAGCCGGTGTTTGAGTACAAGGAGAGTCCGAGAAACTTGGCTGTCATTGGAATCAAGAAGTAAGCCAAGTTTGCTTTGGTTGTCGAACATGGCGTATCAGTTCGCCTACGCTTCCGGAACTCCCTGATTTACAGATAGCTGTGGCTGTCTAGGCTGCGGGTCTCCGGGTGGTGATTGAAGTTGTCCTAACGAAAACGCCGACCCGGTACGGGTCTACTGAGATATGCCCGGAGGAGGGGAAAAGAGAGGATAGGCCTACCGGCCTGATGCGAGAAATAGACATACTATAGACGTGGCTGGGTTTTGCGCCTAGCTATGATGCGACCACGATCAAAATGCATAGACGAATAGAATATCTTTGCAAATCTATCATTCCTAGATTGGAGGGTCGGGCATAGAACGAGTCAACTTAGCTGTACATATGTCGGATTCTACGGGCTCGCAGGTATCTGCAGGTGATTATGGCTTATGGCCTTTGAAGTTTTGCCCCTAAAAAGACTTCCTTACACCGATGCCATTCAGGGACGAAGTCCGTACCTAGATAACTGCTAGTAAATTCACTATCATTATCAGATATAACCCAACAACAAATATGTACAAAATCATAAAATAAGCCGAACCGAAGAAACATAACTAAATCAACATCTAATCCCATCTCACATACTTAACATTCCTCCTCATAACCGTCTGTTTCTGTCGCCCATCATCAAAGAACAGCCAGCCCGCATTCCTGAACCCCCTACTCGTATACAAATGAAGCCCAGCATCAGTGGACACCAAAGTAGCCGGAATACCCTCTTCCTCGGATCGATCAATCCCCCATTGCAGGAGCTTCTTTCCCACCCCTTGCCCTTGAGCCATTGAGCTAACGGCCAGATTGCTGAGATACCACGACTCGCTCGGTTGATTAGCTTTGGCTGCCTCAAGCTCATGTCCGAAATGCCTCAGTCTGGGCCAGGATAAGGATCGGCGTGGCGTATCGAAATAGAATGTGTAAAGGATCTGCAGATTGAGCAGGAATCTTTTGAGACCTGGTTGGACATGCAGCCATTAGTTCTAGATGAATATCACATTAAACTCCAAAGCAATGATACACACCTTTCAAAACCCCACCCCCCTGCCAACTCCTCGCAGCCTCAGAATCCCCCCTCCGTTCCCAAACAGCAAACCCTACAACTTTCCCCGGCCGTCTCTCAACGCAGATACTAGTATCATCCTGATCTGGATCTGGGATCGAGGCAGCAAGGATATACTTCCCCTTGTCGAAGAACTCCTGCAATAGAAGGTATTTCCATGCCACGATGAAATCTTCGGGATGATCGCGACCACCAGGATAGAACCAGTTTATGCCTGGATCATCGCGGAAAGCATCTGCTCCGATGTGATATAGTGGTTCTAGGTCTTGTAGGGTGGTCACGCGATGTAGGGTAAGAGGGGGGGTCATTGTTTTTTGGCGTAGTGGGGTGAATATACTATTTCTATAATTGAATAGAGATGATCTAAATCGGAGGTTATATCTTCTTTTTCCATCATGGAAAGACTGCCGTTGAACTTGGTGTGTTTAATACTATAGGGCGCTGGGAAGCCAAGCCCCGAGCGCCGAGCTGCGAAGTAAGAAAGCATGAACTGAAGTTGTTGTCCGAACCCCGAGGACGGCTCGCCATTCATCCGTTTATTGTGGTGATTGTTTCAGAATAATCCATTTTTAGAAGTGTAAAGATAAGAGATGGTGTTGTTGTACTCGGGAGTACTACTAATATTGAAACCGTATGCATCGTAGACACTAAGTACCTTCCCGTTCAAGTTGATAGATTCCTTTTACTAGGTCTTTCATGACATGTCTGTTACAGAATTCACCGACCCAGAGCGATCGTGAGTAATGAGGGATGTTCATCGTGGTATATCTGTATAAGTTTGATAAGACCTCTACCGTATATAATAGCTGCGAAAGCAATGTGAGGGCTAATCATGCAATTTGCTATTCATTGTATGGTGGGATATAATTAGTGTTTCGTGCGATACTTCAGATCAGTGGATGGTATAAGGACTTCTCTAGCGGGGATAGACAAGTTGAAATCCCACTCTAAGAGGGTCCTAGGAAAAGAAGTGGCTAATTGTACTCTAGGTGACGGCGAAAAAGTGCGATGAGAATAAATTGTGCCAGTGTTATCGTCGCAATGGAAGAAATTCAATTCCTGATATCAATCTTGGAAAAGAACCCGGACTGTTTCTATATAAAAGGTTACTCACATTTGCCATTCGAATTTTCATCACAACCCGAACACATGTGCAATCAAAAGATCTCCGTAACATATCGCTCCTTTGGCAAAGGGCCTAACATATTCTGTAACACGGCCTCGACCCCCTTGGCCATGTTCGTCGAGCCGCAGACATAGATTATAGCATTCTGTGACCAAAGAGACAGGATGGCTTGACCTTCCGTTACCAGTCGATGTTGCACATATCGACATCCTTTGGCTATGTCGAAATCCGGAGTTTTACTGTATGCTCTCCGAATCCCAACCACACCCGCAGCTTCAAACTCAGATAATTCTTCATGGTAAAGGTCATCCAAGGAGCGCCCACGGCAGCCAAAGAACAGCAATGCCTTCGCGAGTGGTTTGTACTGCTGTTTCAAGACCATTCGGTCTTGTATAAAGCTAAGGAAAGGGGCTAGACCGCTGCCCGCGCAGACCATGATAATAGGTGTGCTGGAAGGGTCATTCGGAAGATGGAAAGACTCCTTGGCTGGTCGTGGAGAGAAGTAAAAAATGGACCCTGATGTGAGCGATGCAAGGTAGTTCGATGCGACGCCCAGATGCTGTCCACTGCCGCGCCATGCTGGCTCGTTGATCACGGAGAAGGTGAGCGAGCTGTGGGATGGTTTGAACGAGGGAGCCATTGATAAAGAATATGTCCGGACGCGGAGAGCTGGGAGCATGGAGATAAAAGCGGCGATAGGAAGGGAGATAGAGGGGAACTGTTCAAGGAGATCCAACACTGAGACGCGTTTGTCCCGGACTATGAATTCGTATGAATCATACAGGCGGTTCAATTCTTGTTTGTCTGGAAATGATTGTGTGGCTGCAATGAGTGCTTTGAGGTTCTGGGATTTTCACAATTAGCCAAGTGTTTCGAGTTGGAGAGACGTGCTTGTATGGACATACATTCCGTGTCGCTGGTTGGCATAGCTCTACGTACGAGCTAAATAGCTCGGATGCCGACACAGGTGTGGCTTGGGGGAGACCAAGTGTGTTGAATGAATTGACTGTGATGTTGTAATCCGGTGCGAGGTTGAATTGCGCCAGGACCCGCGAGACTGTGCTGGGTGGATTGACTGGGAGAACATTGAGATGATCACCTGGTCGCAAGCTGGTGTCGCCCTGGAAGCAAAATTCCAGATGTCGCTTCTCCGGCGTGTCGGGGCTAGTTAAGACTCGGACAGCAGTCACTTTTGCCTCTATAAGACCCTTGTGCAGGTCCACCCTCCTGGGCTTACTGAGGCTGAGCTGTATCTGGTGGGGGTTGAGCGGATCGAAGTCGGTGCTGTTGGATGGGAGAAAGTTCTCTCTAAGAGCGGGCAGCAGACTTGTTTCTTCCCATGCTTCCAGATCCGAGAAGAGATCACTGACTGCCGCATTAGCTGCACCTCGTGGCGCAAGGCGTGTGGCGCCGGCCTTGTGCATCAGGTCATCAATTAAGATGGGGATGCGATAGAAAGTTTGAGTCCAGTCATGATGGCCGCAGCCGAATAAAGCGTAAGATATACTCTGGAGAGACGGAACATTGCCAGCTTCGAGCCAGGCGACAAACTTCTTCGCATCATCTGTGGGCTGCCCATCGTACGTGGTTGTTAGAATGATGACTGGCTGATCTCTCGGTAGGTTGTCGACGGCATTATCTAGCGGAGCCAGCTTCTGGGTAGTATATCCGCGGGACATCATATTCGATGCTAACTGGTGGGCGAGGGCTTTGCATGTTCCGCTGTTAGAGCCGTAGAAGAAGGAAACCGGCTGCCCTCTTGCTGGTGCGTGGTCTCCGCGGGCCTCGGCGGGATGATTTGACGACTCCCCTGAGCTCCCATCCCTCGCCACTAACATGCTACGTCGAGATAGCCCAGTGGCAGTCTGACCGCGGCGCAGTGTGGCACGGACCCGAAATCCATCTGGCTTAATGGTGAGAGTCTCTTTGATGCGCAGCTGGTAGGACGGGTCATCTGGCACCAAATCAAACGTTTGTAGAATCATGGCAACCACGAGTTGGGCTTCTTGCCAAGCAAAAGCCCTGCCAATGCAGCCTCGTTCACCATTACCAAACGGTTTCCACGAGTTGGGAGGAAGCTTAGAAATTTTCTGCCAACATACGTTCAGGGCGGAACTCGTCTGCGTCGGGTCCGAAGACACTCTGATCCCGTAGACAGGCAGGCAGTAGGACATTGACGGGTTGACCGGCATTGATCATCCATTTCCCGCCCAGAACCTCTGTCTTCTTTGGAGTGACGGCGAAGCCAGGGGCAGTAGGCATCAAGCGCAGACTCTCTTTTAATATGGCATCGATATACGGAAGCTCTGCGAGGTGTTGCGCAGAGATCTGGGCCAGGCCGACAGTCTCGTCGACTTCTTCCTGGGCCTTCTTCAAGATGTGGGGGTGTTGGAACAAAAAAAAGAACGTGAACGAGAGCAGGCCTGAAGTTGTTTCGTGGCCAGCAATCAAAAAGGTGATGACATTGTCGATGATTGAGTCATCACTCATGCCTTCTCCAGTGACTGGGTCCCTCCCGTTCAAGAGCGTGTTCAGGATGTCATTAACTGGATTTTTGTTCTTTCTGCGCTCCTGGATGATGCCGCGAGCCATGGTCCTCATCGCCTCGATGTTCTTATGCATGCGCCGCTGTGCCGAGATACGAATTGAATTTGCAATCCCGGGAAGATTAGCCTGGACATCGGCTTCCTTCAGGACGTGCATCATGGATTGAACAAACGGGTGCATGGTCTCGTTGTTGTAGAAGCTGTTCAGCCGGAAACTCATCGTGCAGAGGGCAATAGTGTCTAGAGTGAGGCGTGTGAAGTCTTCGGTGATATTGATACTGGTTGAACCTCCTTGGCGCGCCCTGCATCGACCATGAAATCGAGCACATTTGTTAGTTTATTATCTAGTTACTTGAACTTTCAATCCAGAGATACCTACCACTTCAAACACAATTGTTGCGCTACGTCGCTCATATCGTCGAGCATGTTCCGAATACGTAGGGGGCCAAAGGCAGGCACCAGAATCCGGTGAGCAATCCCCCAGCCGCGCTCTCCATGGTAGGCTGTGAAGAGGCCATCGTGGGCCAGTAATCGTAAAATCTCGAGGCCAGTCACTACGGCCTTGTGGAAGCGCGATTCGTCGCAGAGCTCATCTACCAGGGCCTGGCTAGTCGCGAAGATCTGCTTCTCACCGTTGATAGTGATCTGAAAGAGGGGTCCTAGAAGAAACCGCCACATTAGAGAGCTTCCCTATCAATGTATGGAGCACGTAGACGATTGGAAATCGAGATACCGTATTTATCCGCGAATGCAATAATGGATTGCAGACCATGCTCCGGGTCGATGTCCAACAGGTTTCCCACAACTGGCAGGGCTGAAGAAATGAACGGTCAGTAAGAGAATGAGTATATAAAGTGGCCTTGCGTGATTGAGCTGATAGCAATTTTTTCGTGCTTACGTTTAGGTCCGGGAATGCGCTCGGCGTCTTTCATGGCTTCCTGTTACAGATTGATCTGTTCGGATGAAATGTATCCACTTGATGAATGCAAAGATGAAGTATCATTCTCTTCTTTGGCTGATTCAGGGTAATATAGCCCTCCTCGCCCTAAGTATGATATGCCATAGATATTAGGTTGGCTTGTAGTCTCCCGTCCGCGGACCCCGAAATGTAGTAGATGATACTTCTCGGTGTTCGGTGTTCGGTGTTCGGTGGTGCTGTGAAACTGGCTTCCTTGGGTTCATCATGATATTAGTGATCATGGCTATATTGTAGTCAAGTCGTTTGCCGCAGGGCGCCAAGTACACCCTGACCTAATAATCCATTTGTTGCTTCCAATAGGGATTGCTCTCCGCATATCACTCGCCTGGGTCCAGCCCTCGGCAACGCATCAACGCATAGGGTCTCTATGACCATACATCGGGTTTAAGTTGGGAAACCGATGCCTGGCACTACTTCATCGCATAAGTAATCCAAGCCAGTTAAACTGCATAGGCGTGATTGATCTAAATGGAGAGGTAATAAGAAGATACGTAGAAAATTGGCGGTAGAAAACCAGAACGCCTAACCCCTTTGACCTCATACCCTCCTTCTCCTCATGTGCCCCCTTTTTGACTCCACCTCTATCTAGGAACATTTCTATGCATATTCATCATCGCGGGAATGAAAACTATCGACCTTCTGACATGATACAGTCTACCACCCGTGTCGCCCTACCGTCGCAGCCCAAGCAGTATTGTCTAGAGTGCACTGAGGTGCGTTCTCCCTCAAATTGAGCCGAAACTTCTGAGTTGTACGGCCTATCCATCTGCAGCTGTTGGGTCAGTCGCACCCCGTCCCAATAATGCCGCTCACGCCGTAATTCTACCCTGATACAGATCACCATTACCATAGCCCAGATCCCTGCCCAAATAGCAGGGACTGACCAGCCAAGCTGCAGTATCACTCACATAACCTCAGCCTCATGTCTCACAATCAACTTCGGAGGTAATATTACGTACCGTGTAAGCCAGCTCATGGTCAACAATCACGATCCCAGCTAACGTTCCCCCGGCCACCAGCATTTGAGGAACCATCCACAGTATCGTCAATCGATGTAGCATGTTACGGAATGGAGGACTCGCATTGTAGCGTTGATCTAAACGGTCCCGGAATTCTGTTCCTCCATTTCCATCGACCGCGATGATGTCTTCGATGAGTGGGTAGAAAGCGGGCCGCATTGGGTCGCCTTTCGCGATTGAGGAAATGCGGAATGGGACAGACATCTTCAAAACGTGCATGAACTCGAAGATTAACATCTCGATAGAAAAGATAAAGAAGAGCGAAGGCACAGGCACAGCCAGCATGCGTATCCAGGGGGGGTCGGGGATGGTTCCCAGAACCAGTTCGGCAATAATAATGACCCAGGCGACGAGGATATTCCAGTGGGTGAAATCGAACTAGGAGGACTCAGTTAGATTAACTCGCAACTAGACAGGGTGTGGAGTGAAGCGATAGGTTGAGGTATTATTCACATAGTAGCGGCCTGCGTTGCGAACGCGAACCTTGGATTCCTTTCGCCACAGACTCCACGATCTCTGTAATGTTTCCGTAACAAAAGTACCGAACAGGGTCAGGGTTAATATATTAAAAACTGCCAGACAGAACAGTTATTTAGATGCTCAAGTTGCAAACCTTGGAGGTCATCATACTGGTCGTGGTGGACAAAGTCGTGCATCGGGTGAGAAGATAGTAGAGCCCGATGGGAAGGGCAACTGAGTCTATGAATACCAGGAACCAAAATATCAGAATTCGGAGTTTCTGCTTCTCTAGACTGTAATTCAGGGATAAAGATTCTGGGTATTGTCCAATATCGGCGGACATCATAATTGCAGTTCATAGAGGACGAAGGCGAAAGAAAAGATACCACAAGAACAAAAGCAGAGAACGCTATGTCTCGACTGCTCTTCAGGGAGGCATGCATCCATTATTTGCTCCGGTGCCCAAAGGATCTGCCTTTGCCGCGTCATATTTTGAAACAATGATGACCTAGATTAGACTTCGCTCAACGATATGTTCGGAATGGCTTAGATGTACCAGCAGAGTGTCATCTTTTCGAGTTCCCCCGAGTACCGAGATCGGTCTGGCTCCAATCCCGAAGACCGAAAGCCCTATTCTACCAGATGACACGGAAGGGGAAACAGTTCAGGCATCAGTAATCAGCAGAAACATCGGGGTAGTAATTCTAATCAAGTTTGCTGCTAACTGACGGATGTGAAGAGATATTGTGAACAGGATATAAAGAGAACAGAAACTAAAGCGAGCGCTATAAGCTTCAAAAATTTCTTCGCATATACACCGAGGACTTTCCGACAGTATATTACCATAACCAAGGGCTCATCCCAACGGATCGGCACCATGAAATCCAGGTTTCCCTTGACCTGCACGGGCGATGGAGACGAAGAAAGGCAACAACAAACAGTATACAGCAATTCTGACCAAACAATTCGCAGATTGGCAAGCCGTTTCTCAGAGAGTACCGTGACCATGGGGGTAGACGAGACATACAGTAACATTTTCTATCCCTCCTGTGACTCGAAACTTGACCCTCGGTGCTCCAACTTCGACACACGCGCTTGGATAGAAGCTCTCGTCGAATATGAGAATGGCAATCTGGAATCAGGACGACGCCGGAGGTCCGGAGTATCTTTTCGCAACCTCAACGTGTATGGCTTCGGTAACTACACAGACTATCAGAAGAGCGTGGGAAACAGCATCCTATCGCTGATAACACCAAGACGTAAACACCGGATTGATATTATTCATGACTTGGATGGGCTAGTCAACACCGGCGAGATGCTTTTGGTCCTTGGACCTCCGGGCTCCGGCTGTTCAACGTTACTGAAAACAATTTCTGGCCATATGAAAGGGTTATTTTTGGGCGACAAGGTCAGGATGAATTATCGAGGTATGTGTGGTAGCGTTCCGGTTCATTCATGCTAAAAGTTTCGGATTATTCTGACCTGGTTACTCACTGCTATGCCTCAGGCGTTTCCAACAAAGAAATGCATAGCTACTTCCGCGGTGAGGCTATCTATGTCGGTGAGAATGATGTGCATTTTCCAATGTTGTCAGTGGGAGACACGCTTTCCTTTGCAGCTCATGCCAGAGCACCGCGAGAATTGCCACCCGGACTGAAGGTACAAGAATATTCCATGCTTCTGCGGGATGTGATCATGGCCATATTCGGTATCTCGCATACAGCGAACACTGTCGTTGGGAATGACTTCATCCGGGGAGTAAGCGGAGGAGAACGAAAACGCGTGAGCATTGCCGAAGCAGCACTCAGTGATGCTGCGTTACAATGCTGGGACAACAGCACCCGTGGTTTGGACAGTGCTAATGCTGTCGAATTCTGCCGAACACTTCGTACGGCCACGGAACTTCTACAGTCATCTGTCCTGGTCTCTCTATACCAAGCGCCCCAGGAGGCATATGATGTACGCATTCCCCTCCCCAGAATTCTCTTCTTCCTTTCTTCTCTCTCCATCTTTGGACACCTTTGTGACTCACCATATTACCGCGCGCAAGCTTTTCAACAATGTCATGCTCCTATATGAAGGACGGCAGATATATTTCGGACCGACATCTGAAGCACGCGCGTATTTTGAAGAGTTGGGTTTTGAGTGTAAGGTCCCACGGCGGTCCTATTTGTTGTTTCTAACGGGAAGAATATGTAGGCCCCGAACAACAGACCACACCGGATTTTCTCACCTCAATGACCAGTCCCAAGGAACGCCGTGTGCGACCAGGGTTCGCATACAAAGTACCTGTCACGGCAACGGACTTTGAGAGAATATGGAAGGAAAGTCAGCAGAGCCAGCAGCTGATGAGTCGTATTGAGGTATACGAGAAGAAATTCAGTCTCGGGGGCGATAGTAGGGATGAGTTCGTGGCCTCCCGTAAGGCCCAACAGGCGAGCAGCCAGAGAATTAAATCTCCATATACATTGTCGTATATGCAACAGACAACATTATGCCTTTGGCGTGGCTGGAAGCGTCTGCTTGCCGATCCCTCCTTGACGTATATCCAGCTTGGGGGCAATACCGTCATGGCTCTGGTCTTGGGAAGCGTCTTCTTCAATATGAAAGACGACACGAATAGCTTTTATGGCAGAGGAGGATTGATCTTCTTTGCACTGCTTCTGAGTGCATTTGCTAGCGTCTTAGAGGTGAATATTTGTTGATAGATTGGCCTGCTCCATTAACGCTTAACACTAACCATGCCCAGATTTTGACGCTGTACGAACAACGGCCTGTGGTGGAGAAACACAAGCAATTTGCTCTCTACCACCCATCTGCAGAGGCTGTGGCCAGCATGCTCACTGACATTCCGTATAAAGTGCTCAACACGTTGGTCTTCAATCTAACATTATATCTTATGGCCAACCTGCGACGAGAGGCCGGGGCTGTGTTCTTTTTCCTCTTCGTTGCTTTTCTCAGCACGATGGTGACATCCGGCCTATTTCGGACGATTGCATCGGTATCGCGTACCATGTCGCAGGCAATGGTGCCCGCTGCTTTACTAGTTTTAGGTCTGATCATGTACACTGGCTTCACAATGCCAACCATGTATATGCCCGGATGGTCACGATGGATGGCTTATGTTAATCCGCTCAGTTACGCCTTCGAATCTTTGATGATTAATGGATTCCACAACCGTGAATTCTCCTGCTCAATCGTTGTCCCCTCAGGGCCAGACTACCATGCTGCCGGTGTCAACAACCAAGCTTGTGCAGAGGTTGGAAACATGATCGGCTCAACTACAATTCAGGGAGACATATATATCAACGACAAATTCGATTACAACCAATCCAACAAGTGGAGGTAAACTGCTCCAATTATCACCCGGAAGCTAGGTCGCTTAAATAGGAGAATGTGGCTGACGTCTTACAGGAACGTGGGGGTTTTGGTTGCATTTTGGTTCATCTTCACAACCGCATACCTGGTGGCGACTGAGGTGCTCAGTATGGCTAAGAGTAGGGGTGAAGTACTCATCTTTCGCCGTAGCCATCTTGTCAAGAAGAAGTCTACGTGGCGCGTGGCGAGTGGTGACGAAGAAGCGCTCCGGCCACCCGGGATCAAGATGGTGCAGTTAGACGGCATCCAAAGCACGGACACTCTGCCTGCTAAAAGCCACATTTTCCACTGGCAAGACGTATGCTACGATATCAAGAATAAAAAAGAGGTTCGGCGGATCCTGGACCATGTCGACGGATGGGTTCAACCTGGAACTTTGACTGCCTTGATGGTATGTAAATTGATCTCACTAATAATACCAGTGTCTGGAAAACCCTAACACAAGACCAATCCTAGGGTGTTTCTGGTGCCGGAAAAACGACCCTACTTAACGTCCTTGCCAAACGGGTTACTACTGGGGTCGTTACGGGCGACATGCTCGTCAACGGTGCGCAAAGTGATACTTCCTTCCAGCGCAAAACAGGCTATGTGCAACAGCAAGATGTACATCTCTCAACATGCAGTGTGCGTGAGTCACTTGAATTTAGTGCACTCCTCCGGCAGCCTTCTGACGTGCCACGGGAGGAGAAGCTCGCCCATGTGGGGGAAGTGATCAGGCTCCTTGAGATGGAAGAGTATGCGGATGCCATTGTTGGTATCCCCGGTGAAGGGCTGAACATTGAACAGCGCAGACGTCTTACCATTGGTATTGAATTGGCTGCAAAGCCTGAATTGCTTCTTTTCTTGGATGAACCGACCTCTGGACTGGACTCACAGACATCGTGGACTATTTGCCAGCTCCTGAAACGACTTGCACATAGTGGCCAGGCCATTCTGTGCACCATTCACCAGCCGTCAGCTATCTTGTTCCAGCAGTTTGACAATCTGCTGCTTCTAGCAAAAGGCGGCAAAACTGTGTACTTTGGAGGTTCGTCCCTCCGCGCCTACAGACAAGCATGTGCTAACGGTAGAAATCATTATTCTTGGCAGAAATTGGGCAGAATTCGGCTACCCTCATCCGATACTTGGAGACCAACGGAGGAACACGGTGTCCTCCAGGCGCCAATCCAGCTGAATGGATGTTGGAAGTGATTGGGGCCGCACCGGGATCAGATACCACTGTCGATTGGCCGAAGGTCTGGCGAGACTCGCCTGAGCACCAATCAGTTCGAGCGAAATTGCAAAAGCTCCGAGAATCTAGGACTACCATGAGCGTAACACCTCATATGCAGATGTTGAGACAGCCAAGCAATAGGGCTTATGCTTCGTCTTCTCTGCAGCAGTGGTGGCTCGTTCAGAAACGTATCGCAGGCCAGTACTGGCGAAGTCCGTCGTATATATATTCCAAAGTCTGCCTCACCGTGGGATCGGTAAGTACTTGCACTAAGCAAAGCTGTCTTGTACACTATCTGCCTGTGCAATTTAACTGAAAATCTCCAGAGTTTGTTCATCGGCTTCAGCTTTTACAACGCGCCGAACACCATCCAGGGGCTCCAGAACCAGATGTACGCAGTGATGATGTTATTGAGCATGTTCGGGCAACTCAGCGAGCAGATTATGCCTCAGTTCATCGATCAGCGAGATGTTTATGA